TGTATCGATGAAAAACTGAGCATAAGCGCCTTTTGTAGCGCTTGTCAGTTATTCCTCAAACATGTCAATATATATCATTGACAGTTTGGAAAGATAACTTAAATAGCCATGCAGCTGGTTTACAGCCTAAGACTCTGAAGAATGACTAGTTTTATTTCTTTTCGTTGACAGAAAGCTACGAGATAGAAGTATCTGCATTCTCTTTCATTTGATACTAAACATGGAAAAAGGAGAAAGGTAGCAATTTATTGTCCTGCCATTGATTTTGAAGTACATGTTTTGGCCTCAGGAAATATTTCACAAATTCCCAAATCTACCAGTCAGATCCAAAATTAATTGCTTTCTCGGTTACCCATCAAACTAATAATTGGTCAGTTTTTTTAGATTGGTGATACTGAGATAAATAATAGTGGCGATATTAATATCTGGAATCTGCTGGGTTTTTTTTCCATGGGATCTACCGGGATAGAAATGTATCAGTCAAGAATGATTGATTGCAGTTTTCTTGTTCTGAAGCCGAAGTCTAAGGCAAGTAATTAATCCACGAGATATGGACAGATCAAGATATGCACCAGTGATCAGATATTCATTTATCCTGCGCAATATAAATGTAAATTATTATTATTATTATTATTATTATTATCATGATGATGATGATGATGATGATGATTATTACTACTACTACTACCACTATTGATGTTTTGCGATAACCGATTCAATAAATTATTTCATTATTCGATCACCAAAGCTTGTTTACATCTTTAAATTATTCTCTGACATATTAGGTAAGCGGTCCGCCTTTTTTCACACAAAAGCGTGGTTACAATTACGCGTGAGCGGAATATTATTTGCAGGATAACGCATTTGGACGGTATTACGCATAAGTAGACCATTATTTGTAGCCAGTTATTTGCAGGTCACATGTTGGGCTCTTTCATCTAATGAAAAGTGAGAAACATGCATCGAATGAAAATTAACAGTTATTGGATGAGGTGTAGCAAAATATCGGGATTTGTCAGTGGCGAGCAGGTCAATTATTTGCTGATACCGAAAGCTGAGGCAAACAATTGATCTGCGAGACAAATCATTATATTTTGCGATAACAGAGTACAATAAATGTTTTATCGCTCGATCACCAAGTTTGTCACATGTCACGCGGCGGGTTTTGGGCCAATGGTAAGGAAAAAAAAAATGCATTGAATGATAGTACCACAGATTTTAGTTTATGATACAATAATGGCCTGAGAAAAGGGCTCAGTTGAAAACAAGAGACATCAAAAGAGCCGAGAAACGGGTGAAAACAATGGGTTTGTGGAGCGGTGCTCAACTGTTGCATATCCAGTGTCTTCTAAACCAAGAAGAAGCCAAACAAACCAAAACATTGATCAACAAGTTATGATCATTTTTAACTCGTGTTTGCGGTAGCAAGTTACGCTTTGAAACGGCCCCAAAGCGCCACGGATACACAAGTGGCACACAGAAGAGTCGAAGTAATCGTTTAAATTGAATTTCTTTCCCACAGTTCGACTGTTATATAAGATCGTTACATGCCCATACAAACACTTATATTTAATACGCTTTGTTAGGTAACTGATTAAATTAGTCACGGCTCCCAAGGAGATTGGGATACCTGTGATTCATCTGTAAACTGCCAAATCGATGGACTGATCTTTCGTGTTTGGAGTCGAACAAATTAAAGATTATTTAGTATACAAAAACGATGGTTGCATAATTCGATCCTTCGAAAGCTTTAACGGTCTTTAACTGAAGCGTTGCCAAAATACATGTTCGAGGGTTTCTCGCTCAAAAGTGTTTTAATTCTGTCTCAGTTTTGTATATAATTACATAACATTTATGGCTTGAACATTGTTACCTTCCAATGCCTATATAATCGCAACCATCCATTAAAAGTTCGGGAGAAAAAAAAAAGTTTGCACCCTTAACGTTCAGCAGTTTAACCACTTTGCCAGCCTTGAACTGATAAATAAGTCATAAATTACTCACGGAGAAACGTTGATTCATGACCAACGCGGGCTCAAGTGATTCGCACAGCGGGTTACGGTTGTTTTTAATGCAAATCACTCAATTTGCTCTGCAAGTGACTTGTTTTACTGGCCATATTAACTATGATGGATATCACGAGGTGAAAAACAGACACGGGAGAAGAAACTAGGAGCTGATACATAATATATATACCTCGTTCAATGAACACGAGACGAGAAAGAACAAAACAATACACCAAGTATTGTTTGACTTCTCTTATCCCGCAAATTTATACGCCAGTCCTAAGAGAAAGCCCTGATAAACAAAGAGCCTAGCCTGAAATCATGATCAGTGATCTCCGATTTCGCCTTCAGACTAATACCCGGTGATTAGGCTGAGGGCTGGATATGTACGTGTTTGATATTTCAGGCTAATGCCCGACCCGTTTTAGAACAGGTGTATGTGTTTCTTGGAAACACTTTGATTTTGATTTTCGAGTGTCAAATGGCTCGATTCTAGTTAATCGAAGGTGGTTCGCTACGATCTTTCGATCGCCCACCATCCCTAATTTAAACAGCTGATGATTCACGGCATCCACCGTTTATACCAATGACACGGATAAAAGTGACTACTTTAACTTCCCTGCCAAAAAAACAATTATGCCAAGAAATATACGCCTTGCTAACAAAGGGAGTCCTAAACGTTTTCTGTTTTACCTGAAAATGTTAAATTTTTGACAAAAATATTTTACGTTTACCATTCCAATAATCTTAACGCTATTTTTCTACAAGATTTTGGTCTCATCTTTGGTCTAGTACGCCACTGAAGAATGTTAAGTCTGACAGTCGAGCTTCGATCAATAAATACACGCTTCAATTTATATTAAATACGGAAAAGCTGTCTCTAAAGAAAGATGTTTGCAAACCATTATTTTAATAGCACGGTTTGAAAAGTTTAACAAGAATGCCGCTTATCCCGTTTCAATGTTCCCAAATTCTAAACAGACATAACTGAGTTCAATCCCTCATGGAGGGTAACTTCTAAATTTTATGTTCATTGTAAAAATACTGCTTCATATAAAAGCACATTCTGCCTTTTGATTTTAATTTCGGTATGTTAGTAATTAACTCGTTTTGCCCTCGCGGCTGCAGAAATATGCGCCATCTCTAAAATAAATTTGTAAAAATTTGCATGTTTCAATAAAATGAAAAATTCAGCTTAAGCCTCAATGAAGACTTGAGTCATAATTTTCGAATAATTCTAGCCAGAGAGTTCACTACGTATTCCACAGTATCCTTGTTTTATTCCGCGGTAAATGTATAATAAACAATTTTGTGAATATCCATTGAGTTTTGGAACTAAAGACGAATCATGGAACTAAACTCGATGCTGTTTGTTATTGAAAAAATTAAGCGCATAATTTTTGTGTTCCTTCGTGTCAGAATTACTCACCCATCTCATAAAAATTCCGAACTTTCTGCTTGTGTTATGAACAAAAAAACAACAACAAAACCTATCAACTCTTTCACTTAATGATTTCATTTTGTGTGATGTAGTCCACGCGGAGAAAAAAAATTCATTTCTCGTCTCTCTTTACAGTCTCAAACTTTTAAACTTACAATTTGAAACATTTTTTTTTTAGAAATTTAATTACATCAATGATGAAAACTCTCTCGACGGCTATCTTACTGCAAGAGAAACATTTCATGCTGATATGTTTAAATGAGTAAGTACCACTATTATTTTCAGGCAATGTCCACTAAAACTTTTAAAATCTTAGTCGTAGGACATCATTAATGATCTTTTCATCGTATTGGTCTACAAAAGCTAACTCGAAAAACAAAAACAAAACATTTGTCCGATTTTCTCCTTCACTGCTTGTCTGACTTCATATAACTTTCAACAGTAAAGAATCGGGTTTGAAGACGAGTTTAAGAAAATTAAAGTTATAGCATAAATCTTAGCGTGATAAAAAGATGCAGATAGTCCACTATTAGCCATCAAGGCCGTCACTACACCATAGGGAGGATAACATGCGACCAGCGTCAGTTGCACGCGTATTGGAGTGGATATTGCTTTGTTGTATCGCGCTATGTTCGATGATTAAGTGACGTAGAAGGAAATCCATGCCTATCTTGATTTATTAAATACGCTTAACTTGCAATTAAGCGTAGTTCACACGTGGAATGATTTTTTTTTGTTTTATTCTCTTTATTTATAACGGAAAAAGCACAAGTCGTCATTTGAAACAAAGTTTTAATTTATCGGAATGAAATTCAGACAGATATCTTATGCTTTAGAAACGCAAGTGTGGTATCAACACGGAACCCTCAGAAAAAGTTCTGAAATCTTGGACCATTTTTTTTTTTATCGTTTTGGTCCGTAGGATTTAAGTAGAAAAACAATGGCAAAGCGCTTGTCTGATTGTGTCCTTTACAGCTTGTCTAACTTCTTCTAGCTTCCAAAAGTAAAGAATCGGGTTTAATGATGAGTTTAAGAAAACTAAAGTGGTTGCATAACTCCAAGCGCAAAAATAAGAGGTTGAAGATAGTCCACCATTTGTCACCAAAGCCTCCACCACACCATGGGGTAGATAGCAAGCAACCAGCGTCAGTTGCAGCCATAATGCAGTGAACACTGCCTTTTTGTATCGTGCTATGTTCAGTTGATTTGTTTGGTTTGGTTGTTGAACATGACCTTGTACTTGAAGTTGATGATGACGGAGGGTGAAGAAAATCTTTGTGTAACAGAAGACAGAGGTTACAAGACACAGTGATGAAACTATGACTTCATACCATATGGTTATCAGGCGATTCCTAAGCTGCACTGCTGAAAAGACAGCGGACACAACCCATAAAGTAATAACGATCACGTAGGTTCGTTTTAAAGTTACCACTTGCCTGTATCTCAGTCCCAACAACAGGGCGAGAAGTCTGTCCACGCTTATTACAGTCATTGTCATCAGAGACACTCCACTCAAAACATTGCCTGCCAACAAGCCTACGGCGAATATGTAGTGACAAATATTCCAATCCTCATTTTCTGCAGACATTGATATCCAGTAGATAACAGCGAGCGGTTCTGAAAG